TGATTCTTCTTTTTTGAAAATTGTCAGAAGGTAGAAATGCTTTCTATTTTTCCTTGGTTTTGTTATTTACATCAACTATGGGATATTTATTAATTATTTTTCTAAAATAGAAATATTAAATATGTAATTTGGAAAATATTACGTAAAATATTGAAAATAAGAAGCAGAGGATTTAACAGATACAGGCACAGTTAAAATTAAAGCTGTACTAAATAAATGAAAATATTACAAATTAAATATTCAATTAATAGGTTACTGATAAAGTTGTAATGTTTTAATCTGATCAGATACTTCATTTCTATTAATCGCTTATCTTTGACAAAAAATAACTTCATATATAATTTAATATATACTTATTATAAATTATATAATGTAATTTATACTTCGACTGAAATAATGATTAAAAGTCTTGATGATTTTATTCGATAGAAATACAGATTCACTTTAAATGAAAATACGGGTGGATTTTATTTATAAGAATTCTCTGAGGGTTGATTTATTTTGTGCTTCTCTCTCGTTTTAATTGATATACGGAAATGATATCAATGATGCGATAATTACGATGGATCGGCTGAGAATTGCCAGTATATTTTCGTAGATTGACATTTATTACATCTTCAGCTGATGGATGGAGTTCAATAACAAGCCTGGTCTGATGCCGTTCGGGGATATCGATTCCTCAGAAATCTACACGACCTTTCGGCCTCGGATTTGCGTATTTTTAGCACCTCGATGACTCATCTGGATGCCCCAGGGCAGCCTCTTCTGGAGTCTGACATTTTCTAAGGCACTATCCTTGTCGAGTTTGCATTGTGACGCTTGAGTAGTCTGTGATCGATTTACAGACCTTTCAGTAGTAGTACAACTCAATGGTATACGATATCTCTTTTACTACAGAGTAAAGCTCAATAATACACGATGTTTCACTACTACAACTCGATAATATATGATGTATCAGTAGTTAACTTTTAATAATATATCATACAGTAATAGTATTACCCAATACTATTTGGTTTACCAGTGGTAAAACTCAATAATATATGATGTCTCAGTAGTTTATTTTAATAATACATCATAAAGTAATAGTATTATCTAGTAATATTTGGTGTGACAGTAGTAAAACTCAATAATATATAATCTACCAGTAGTATAACTCAATAATATGTAATACATAAATAATAAAACTCAACAATACACTATAGTAGTTGTACTACTCAACACTACATAATATACAAGTACTGCGACTCAATAATATACAACATGGTAGTCGTATATTACAATATTACACGATGCACCAGTAGTTCAATTCAATGATATACACCTCCATTATCTCAGTTTAAAAACTGTCGCCAGTATTTCGATATTCATGTGACTTTTCCCACGAGAATCTCAGGCACAGTAGATCCTAGGTCATCTCGAAGATTTCCCATCCCCTGCATCCCTTCGAAAATGAATTTTGCAACAAAACCCCCGGGGTAAGTTATCCCAGGTTTCTTCACGCAGAAGTGAATTTACTGGCCTCCAGACCCGTTTATCGCGGGACACGAGCGCTCGGAACAACATACCGGCGCGCTATAAATAAACAAATCTATCCCACGTCATAAATCTCGTCGTACCAGGACTCCCTTATCAATGCTGGGCAGAAGGGCGGTGCTTCGCTCTTGAATTTTTCGCATCCTCGACTTTCTGAATTATACCATCCCGACTGTACCAGTTTCCGAACCTTTCTGACACTTCTACCTTTTCCACAGGGCTGGTTTCTTTTCCTGAACGAAAGAATTCACCCTTAAAGAATTTTATGTCCCCTCAACCCTAACGAACCCAGTAGTTTCAAATCTATTTATTCCTACAAATTATAATCTAACAAACTTATTTTTAAAATTTATTTATCACTTCAGTTTCCTGTCGTAAACAGTTTATACTACCTATATTATACAATACAACAATAATAAAAATTCTGTAGAAATTTCCCTACCATTCTTTTATTCCAACGTTCATTATCATATGAATTTCCTCAGAAGTATTCACCCCCCTATTACGTCCAAAATATGTATGTTTCAAATATACAAACGTTGAGGTCTGAAATCTCCGGGAAAAATCAAAAGCAGCTAGAAACTTCCACGAGAGTATATTTCTTCCAGGGGTTGCAACCCTTAAGTCGGGGGTGGAGAGCATGCTATCATTTCTAGGGCTGAAAAAATCGTTCGGCAACGAGGTTAGGAAGCATCGAATAAAATTTGCATCGCATTAACCACGAGTATTTTCCCAAGCAGCCCCTCTGGAACGCTGCTGACAAACCACCCCCTATCGCATTTAAAATTTCCCAGCATCGATAGCGGTCCGTCTTCACGGACACGCGTTCCATTCATTGTTATTCCGATAACGTGGCTCGGCGGTCCGGTCACGTAGGCAGCGCTGCAGGGTGAACATTTTTCATCCCCATTGCCCGTGTATTCCACCCCAGCGTACTGCCATTCCACATTTTTCCCTCCGTGCATATTTGTAACTTTCGTTTCGGTGATTCATCCATTGTTTTTTCCGCGTCGCTCGTTGTTTTTTCTCGTTTGAATTTTTCACGAAATACAGCGGGCCGGGGATTGCAATCAAAATGAAAATTATAATTAAACGTAGCCGGGGATGGGTGTTTCGCAATTTTACAGCTGACTGGACAGAGTTCGTTTATGCATGCACACGAGGCGAGATATAATCGTAATACAGGGACTTTCAACCCCTTCAACCCACTTCAACCCCCTGCCGTACGAGCGTCGCTCGTGATTTTCTGGTTAAGTGGTAACAAGCCGCAAAAATGGCTCATTGATATACCCCGCCGCGTTTTTTCGCTGGCTCGATAACGGGTGCGTAGCAGAAATACGCAGCGGTTGGTTTCCAAAAAATTTTTCGAAAACGTACGACAATCACGGTTAGTTACATCCCTTGAATTTTTCACGTGGTATCTGCCTACCAAAATTTGTTAGTTCCCTCAGCGGTAAAACTGAAATATTTAAATGAAATCCACATAAAACTTTTGAAAAAAGCTCGCAAAAGCACAGAATATAGAAAACCTTTTTAAAAACGAAATTTCGAATCTTTCGCACCGCGAATCTCGAATATTCAAAAAGTATGTATCACGCGTAGAAGAATTGTGAATTAGTTTTGATAATATTCCCCGGGTAAAGCTCATTTGAGGTCGCTTAAAAAATGAAAATTCAGATTTCGAGGAAACGGTGGAAAGCTTTCGTCGCATCCCTTTTCGTTTCGAACAAGAATACGGAGGTTAAACACGAGGGTTTTGTAGTAAGGGGCGAAAGCTTAAAAGCTGCGCGGGCGAAGATTTTTCAAAGGACGACGACTGCAAGCTTGTCTCTACTCCCGAAAGCTCGGGAAACGTTTGTGAATGATAATTAGGGGCATCCACCCTCGGCGTTAGCAGAACGCGATCTGGATTGCCGACGCACTGGAAAGCTGAGCTTTCGCCGAGGATGAGCTTTGCAAGCCCGACCGATTGTTCCTGGAGTATTGTCCCTGTGAACCGGCAATTTCAAAGCGAGCAGCGTCGGTCCGTTAATTGCGTCACCCTGACGCGAGCGTAATTACGTAATGACTAGGGAAATATTGTCCCCTAGCGGCCGGAAATCACTAGGAGCTTTCGGCGCCGCGATACCAATAGGAATTTCGAATTTTCCTGCAAATTTCCAGGCTTGGTTGAATTAATTCGAAAATTAATTTGAAAATAGAGGTGGGTCTTTACGAGAACGTTAGCTTTGTGATTTTCGTATAATACGAAACTGTATACCGGGCGGCTTAAATTTTCCAATTTTCATGAATGCGAGCGCCTTTCTGTAGGCGAGTGAAATTGTTATTTTTTTGTTTGTTTGTTCGCGACGCATTTGGCTGGGTAATAGATTTTTTTTTTAGAAAATGGAATTGTTGTAAACGGTGGCAGTAGAATGTCTCTGAATGCGATCAGACAATATTCAGGAATTCCATTAGCCCGGCGAGGCGTAAGCGTCATTTCCGTCCCGGCCACTTTTACGAGTTGAGTGTCTGTTGAATTATTCATTTTTCCAAAGCTACGAACAGCTTTTCGGCGACAATGCTTGCTTCGCGACTGATTATCCCCGGGTATTTTTCGTCTTTGCATAATCCGTTATTTCAATGTTTTCTTCTTATTTCCGCTCTCTGGTAACATTGCGTCCCTTTATTTCCTTGGCCTGAATCGTTGCGAGTTGAAGATCTTCGTTTAGCGAAGGAAAAGTTTCCTTCTTTTGGCCGCGTGAGGATTGCACCGACACTTTGTCGTATTATTCTATTAAAAAATGTCTGACTACGTAAAGTGTTGGTCTCCTTACAAAATTTAATTCCTTTAGATATGTTTTGTTAAAATTAATTTGACATTAATTTATATATGATATAAATGATGTTATCAAAGATAATTGTTTTCTTTCTAGATGGTCTGACAATGGTGGTATCATTTCACTGAAGTCCAAGTATAGAAATTTAATGTGGCTTATTTTATGGTAACGAATAAGTTTATTTTACGAACATGTATTCGTCCACCAAATAACCTTGTACTTATAAGAGTCTCACCACAATCGACACTATCCCCTTAACCATGTCTGACCGCGACTGTAATTTTCTACTTAGTCCTGTCGGACAAAACCGCGACCCAGATGCTTATATACGTTTCTAAAACTTAATCTTCGTGTTTAAAGGTGTGACCAGATATTCTAATTCTACTTATCCATTGTATTACGAGTTCTTAGTAAATTAAAGTACATGCTATAAAGTTAAGAACATGAAAACTGCGATTCTTGAAAATTTGTTCAAGTGCAGCAGTAGGATTACGCTAACGTCATTAAAGGTGTTGCAATTTTTTAGCATTGCAATAAATTAATTGCACATTATACCATTGCAATATATTAATTATACATTAAATATATTCTCAGCAAATGTATTATCAGCAGAGGCATCATTAAAGATTTGATTTTCTCTGTTTCCAGGAAGAATGAAGCTGGAACTGGACCGTGAGAAGGGCCTGGAGCTCTTCGGGAAGTTCATACGAACGAAGAATGTGGAAAGTCTACAGGGTGAGCAGAGAAAAGCTGGGCCCGAGCCACTGCATCCGACCGACTCCAAGCAGAAACTACAGGTGAATCTTTTTTCTTGAACATATTGTTATAAACAGAATCTTTCAATTTTATTCTGTACGTAAAAAATTGTTTATATACTAATAGTCACTTGAGTAATTATGGGTTAATTCTTTACACTCGAAAGGCGACTCACAGTCGCTATTTGTCTGGACATAGCAAAATTATAAAGTTTGATATTCAATATCGAAATTCATACAATCTATTCTATAATTACAAATGAAATATTGAAATAAAATAATTCTATCTATATTTTTTATGTGTATTGTTTATATGTACGTTAATCATACAAGGTACCATTTCATTAGAGAATGACGAATGTATCCAACGAAAAAACTTTCGAATGCAAAGGGTTAATCAACCCCTTTCTTCAAGCCCTAATTCGAAAAGTTACAAGACACTGTCCTCGTGGCTCACGATGTATAATTTACGTCTACGAGAAGAAAGGTAGACTTGTCAGATAAAAATAGCGAACAGTCGGAATAAAATCGAATCGCAGGTAAATTCAAACCACCCCCGCCACCTAAAGCTCGCCTGACCCATCTCCAGGCCTGCCAGACTGTAAGACCGTCTATTTTCGCGGCGCATCTGAATCCTCCGAGAGAAGAAGGCTGCCGGGCGGACGTGGATTCCCCGTATCGATCCCCGGTCTATTTTTAACGGGATTTTTCAACAGCAGCTCGCCGCGGACTCGCGCGAACAACCCTTGAACCCTGGCCCCTTCACGATCCTTCGCGATCAATCTTCGCGACAACCTAATAGGAAATTAATTTCCCGGAACGAGCTTCAGCGTCTTCTCTCGCCTCATTTCGTCTCGAGCTCCTTTCCGATCGCGCCGCCCCTCCATGGGGGTGGCTGGGGGTGTAAAACCCGTGGAAATCCCTTGGAGACATTTTTCTTGAAATCTGCGGATTGGGAACGTTTTTTGGTTAGCGGTTCAAGGGAAAGTTTGGATTTACGGGAGACAGATCGAACAACCCCTTCTTAGGGGTGAAAACCTTTTTCAGGTTTTGCTATTTCTTCCGTGACGAATGGGAGAATTTGAAAAATTATTGTGGAGATTGCTAGTGAGGTGAGAGAGTGGAGAATTCATAGCAACCCTAATCGAACCCTTGTAAGTGTAACTGGGGGTGGTAAATTAATAAAAATACATTTCACAAATTTTTCCAGCTATCTATACAGTTGGGGATATTTCTTAACCACTGTTCCATGAAGAATTACCGAAGTTTGAAGCATTGAACAATTATTCATGTAGGATGACATTCACCCTCTTTCTAACCTCTTCTCCAAGAAGTATTCATTCTGATTGACACGAACATTGAACTTTGAAGAATTACAGCCAAGATTGATATCGGGGTGAGATATTGAAATATTTTAGAAACTTCCTCGGGTGGAAGGAATGTCCTCAACATTTTTCTCCCCCTCTGCTGGAGGCCGTACCATGAAAATCACCTCTTTTTCGTCACCCCTTTTTCAGGAAGTATTTTCGCTATTCTGACTGAGGTGAATAGCAGAATTCATAGAATTGACGTCGAGTTTGGAATATCGATCAAACTAACCCCCGCGGAAAAAATGTCTGCGACATTTTTTTCCCCTTGAGCGGAGGTTGTTCGTTTTCGAAACAACGGCCGTTCATCGAACACTGTAGTCGACCGCGATATCCGCGAAACTGGTCTCCGTTTATTGGGAAACTTTGCGATTGTTTAGGCGAGACCGGGGACCGCCACTCGAAATGCTCCCCCAGGCGACCAGCAGCCATTGTTTAGCCTGTCGCTTGGAAGTTTGTTGGGAATTCTGTGGAAGTATCGGCCGGATATCGACGCTTATGGAACGTCGCGGTTCTTCGGATTGAAACAAGAACATCGGCTGGTTCTTTGTTGGCCGGAACTGGGCCACAGGCGAGGTTGATTCATTTTTAGCGTCGAGGGTCGTTGGGCTGGACCGTTTTAGTTGCAGCTCAGTTTTTGGAGGTCTCCTGTGATATTCTTGCGTAGACAAAGTCAGTAGAGCCAATGAGAGTCTCGGGAATCGGGGTTGTCAAGTTTTGGTTCGGTTTGTTGGAATTTGTGTCAAGTCCGATTATAGCGTGGGTTGGACTACTTGGAACAGTGGTGAATTGGGAGATCGAATATTTTCAGGATGATAGAAATCAAAAGGGTGAGACTATGGGGTTGATTGTTTTAAATGAAACTAATGGATAATGGGTTTGTTAAATAAATTTTGAGCAGGATTTTATTTTAATATTTATTTCACTTGGAACATGGAATTGTTGAAACAACAAAATTTACTCTGTTGAGAATGATACTGAGAGTTTGAAATAAATTATTTGAAATATTACTGTGAGTCTGATTAATGTAAGGGATATTCTACTTGAAGCGCGCGGAAGATGAGGAAACCAGAATTGTTCATATTGATGCAAGGTAAAGGGATCAGTTTTCAGAGTGGAATATGCAAAATGAAATTGGAATTTTCCTCCGAGGTCTGGCTGTAGCAAGAGTTGTTCTACTTGAAACCTCGCAGAACTGAAAGAGCAAAATCGTTCGAACTGATAGAAATCACTGTGGCGACTTTGTGGGGGTAGTTTATTTAAAATCAAAGTGGAAATTCTCTTTGAAGTTTGTACAAGGCAAAAGTGATTTCACTTAAACCCGGTCCGGCTACGCTTCTGTCCTGTGATGAAAGTTGAAAGATAGAAAAGGTAGTGTACATAGATATCAAAGTCTTGCTAAATAGGAACTCATTCTACTTTGCATACGTCTGACTGATATTTCACAGTCTAAAGAGGCAGATTAGTTAACACTTAATTAAGACTGATACTTTTAGTGTGTATATATTTATAATATCATTAGTCTGACTAAAAATGGACATATATTATTTTTAAGACACTTTACTATAGCTCGTAGACAAATCTCACGAAGTCTGGGCATCCTTTTGTCTTTTACAGAAGTGCCTGACGACTCTGGACCTGACGTCATTGGGAGTTGGCTCCTGTGTTGGTACAGGGATGTACCTAGTCGCAGGTATGGTGGCGCGCAGCGTCGCCGGGCCAGGTGTCGTCATCTCGTTCATTATTGCGGCCATTGCTTCAATTTTTTCCGGTAAGTTCACTGTGTTCAAACTACCATTATTCTTCTTCAAACCCTAATGATACTCAATCCTCTGTTAACACTTCAACAAGATATGAGAGATTAATAATAGTTGAAGTAAGCGTACTTTAACTTAATCATTAAGAACCTTAAAGCGTATTACAATAACTTGTTAACATTCAATTATTAAACAAATAAATAATACTATACTAAGTAATCAAAACTTAAGTATTAAAAAATTAAACAGTGTTATACAAGATTTTTTAAACTCAGTTATTAGATCAATGAATAAATGCTACTAAGAATTACAGTAGTTGATCTTATATGATTATTAATTGAAGCAGTGATACTTAATGTTAAATAATTATTATCTAGAGTAATAATACCTAATCTTAAATCATTTTTATTCGAACAAAATTTTACTTCCGTGAAGGTAAAAGAGATGCCTAGGTCGACGTTCAAATATCGTTGTTTCCGTGCAGGTAGCGACAGGGATTTTCGACGGAATTTACCAGGGGGTGTGGGTAACAGTGTCGGATTAGATTTACGGTGGTTGTATGGTGGTACCGTTGGACAGGCTGTCAGGTACGGTTCCGTCCCGAGGAAACGTTGGGAAATCCAATTCTTTTCCACTTACAGAAGTTTAAAGTACGTGAGCTCGAGCCGGATGCGCTTTACACCCCCGGAAAAATTGAGACTGGACACACGCTGGACTCGACATCGGAGATCAATTCTAATGTTATCAGTGAAGGGGGAAATTCGTGACAGACTTTGCTCAGCGTAATTCTCGAAGGAATATTTCTTTCCACCACGAGAAGCAAATATTATTACAAGAACACCTCTGGGTCTGACCACACACAGAGTTATTCTACTGACAGAAGTACTTTCATTGTTTAATACATTTCTATCGTAGGAGAGAAGGAAAAATATTTTGTTATCCTCATTCTTTTATTATCGTATTTGAGTAAGAATGTGTTGAAATAAAACGTAGAATAATATAATGATATAACAGTATAATAGAAAATAGGGACGATATTTATGTGAAAATATGGAAATGTTGATTGATGATTTATTGACAATCTAAGCTAAGAGAGTACGTATAAATGGAAGTTTACATATTCGTAGCATCTCCCAATCTGTCAACCATAATGAAATAAGATTATTAATAAATTGTAATATTGCATGAACTGAAAAAACTTGAAGAATCTATATATACGCTAATAATGCAAATCGGTTAATTATGTTTATCTTATGAATTCAAGAGTTACGTACGACCTTGAGGCATTCGATTTTCGGTGGATTTATTTATTTCGCTGACGTCTGATCATACACGATCCTGTTCTACTTACGTATGCTAAAGTCACGTATAATTCCGTTGTGTTTGGCTGCGGCCGATTACAGACGCTGACATACTACTTGTATAGCTCGGCCCATGCATTATTCGATGCAGTCTGGCTATAAATGTCCCGTTTTACTTATAGCCGCACGATCACCCGCGATTTTCTTATGTTGAGCCACTTCCGCCTACACTTTTTACCGTAGTATTTTTACACTCTTAATGAGCTCGTTAGTGGTTGAACTCTAACGTTCTGATTCCATTTACTGTCACGTGAACCTTTATTGCAGTCGTTAGCTCGATTGTATAGGACGACACGGGTTTGTTCCGGCTGACTGTGACAGGTACTATTCTACTTAAATTTATATAACTCACTTTCTTATTTTCCTGTTTAATCACTGTAACGTGGCTGATCACATATATCATTGTAAAGAATTTGACATTAAGTATAATTAGTCTGAACATATACACTCTTATTCTACTTAAGACAAATTAATCTCTGGCACCAGTGATTTTGACTGTTAAAAACTTTTAAAAAACAAACCATCCCATTATTACAAACCTCACAACCGCGTCTAATCACATACATCATTCTACTCACCGTCACTCCCCTATTATCTTATAATTTCTTCCCAACTTGAGTTCAATCAGGGATAACAAAAATATCACCCTTCCACAACGTCTGATCGCATACTGAATCATTCCACTCACCCTCATCTTTTATTCCCCAACAGTTTCTTACCAAATCATGATCAACTGACAGCATCACAAATATTGTCATTCCACTACGTCTGATTACATACTGGGTTATTCTACTCACAGCCACCTCTCATGAATTCTACTCACCAACAAGTGCTTACCAAATTAGTATTAGTCGATACTACAAATATTGACATCCCACTTCGTCTGATCATACACTGGATCATTCTACTCGCCAATTCTCATAAATTCTTATTCATCAACAGCTGTTTACCAACTTACCATCAGTCGACGCCAATATAAATATTATCAATCCGCGTCTGATCACATACTGGTTCATTCTACTCGCAAATTCTGATGAATTCTTATTCACCAACAGCTGTTTACCAACTTACCATCAGTCGACGCCAATATAAATATTATCGATCCGCGTCTAATCACATACCGGGTCATTCTACTCGCAAATTCTCATCCGTTCCTATTCAACGATAATTCCTCGCTAAGTTTCGACCAATCTGTTCCAACAAAGCGTTATCATTCCACGAAGCTTTTCTCACCGAAACCTAATCCAGCGAACCAGTGCTCTCTAATTCGTGACCGCGGATCCTCCGAAGGCCCCAGCAGTGCTTTATTGTTTCGGCCGAGTCTCGGGAGTGTCGGTGGGTACCGCGGTCACGCGCGCCGGCCATGATTACTGGATCCCGCGGTACACGCGCTGCCTATACGTCTTGCACGCCCAGACACGTACACGAAAGGATGCGTCGCGTAGACGGCGCTACTCGACGTCGAGTGGAGAATAACGTCGGATTAGATTTACTGCTGGGATCGTAGAACGGTCCGACACGGTTGCAGCGAATGCTTCCGGAACGTCTTTCTAGGCACGCGAGGGTAACCTATACGCGGCAGACAGGTATATTGTCCGGTCTCGATTGCGGCCTTCTTAGTCTATGCAGGGGTGCAGTGGGGGTTGGAGATGAGGTCTAAAGTGGTGGGATCAAGGTTGCATAGAAATCAGGTGAAAAGTATTTTGAATCCTTGGGAGCATGTTTTTAAACAATGGAATGTTTGAGGTAGTCAATATTGTACGGTTTGGAACAGAAAGGGGTAATTAAACATATTTCATATAATGGAGTTCAGATGAAACAATGTTTGAAATATTTAATAGTTAATGTTGCACTGTTTGGAGTAAGGAATAGTTTAGAATATTCGATATTGTGGAGTTAACATAAAGCAATATTCAACATTTATTCCAAACTCAAACAATACAAATTATTTAAAATATTTGCTACTATTACTGTTTATTATTCTCGAAAAATAATGCAAAACCACTGAATAATTATTAACATCATTACTATAATAAACTACATACTATTAATATCATTCTTTTAACTAACTAAATGATTACATTTGACACTTTACTTGACACTTCTTTGAAGCCTGTCAATTAAAAACATTTAGTCTAATCTTTAGTTTAATCCTAATTTAAACGAAAATATCGTCCCACCCTGAAACACCAGAGGAAATTATTAGACTCGTCGTAAGAGACGAAATATTCCATCTCGAAAGTTGAAAAACATGACAGAGGGTGAAACAGGGTAACTCGCCGTTTATTATTTCAAATAATATTTCACCCGTGTACCGGTTACAATCGCGCTGATATCGAATTCCCTGTCCCGCCCGACTCCTTTGTTGCCCGCGATTTCCCGGATCCGTGTTGCGCTTCGTAAATAATGGAGCGCTCCGGAACGCCGCCGGATTAGGGGTTGGAACCGTTCCGGGATGCCCGGAATGCTCCAGGGACAATGGGAATCGTTTCTTCTTTGGCTCGTTCAGGTCACGCCGCGGCAGGCGGCAAATTCCGACTGATGTTTCATGCTTGCCAGCCCTCTGGCCCCATCTAATCTATAAGTCCAGTCACATATGTTTACAAATCTTCCATTTAACCCCCTTCATCCGCCCTATTAACCCCTTTGCATCGTGTGGGAAAAGGAACAATATGTTGTCGTTATCAAATCTTTTCTTTTATTACATTTGAATGATTAATATTGTTGGATTGTTTAATGGAGGAATATATGAAGTGGAGTAAATAATATATTTTAAATGGAACATTTAAAAAATTACATTCCGTACGGGATTAATAAGATGTTAGATTGTTTTGTGATATGAAAACAATAACGATTTGGAAATTAGTAATTTATTATGATGAATAATATCGGATTCTTATTGAACATACGGACATTAATGAATTCATATTTTGAATTTGTAATAAAAATTTTGAAATCAGTATACGAATTTTATATTATTATCTGTATACTGATTTCGACATTTTTATTAGAAATTCAAAATATGAATTTATTTAGTCAGTCTGTATGTTCAGTAGGAATTTGATATTGTTTATCATAATAAATTACTGATTTCCAGATGGTTGTTGTTTTCATATTGCAATATAAAATTATGTGGCTTGCTAAATTTTTGTTTTATTTGAGAAATTTAGTTACAGGAAACTTTGTTTAATCTTATTATAATGTATAGATAAATAATGTTTAGATAATGAAGAGGAATGTATTTTAAATTAAAAATACTTTTGTTTATCTTGAATCTTAAACATAAAAGATGTATGCAAAAATCGCATTGTTTATGGGATGACAGAATATAATAAAATAGTGAATAATAATATTAACATAATAATATAGATTATACAGTGATCCATAAAATGCATTTAATGAAGATTTTTCATAATGTTTCATATTGCATGTATCATGCTTGGGGAAACTTTTACTTGAAATAAATGTATAATCAATTATTTCAATTACTTTGTCCTATTGATTTTCAAGATGATATGGAACAAGTTATTTTTATTTTGTTGTGAAGTTGAATATTGCCTGTTAATAATTTTTTACTTCAATTAATTCATTGTAACTATCTATATTTCACCTGGGGTGAAATTGGTTTGTTACAGTTAAAGATATTTAAATTGCAATTGCAAGCATAATAAACAAAACATAATATAACGTAATACAATATAATGTAATAACTATAAAATAACGTAATATAGCTCCTACGAAATCGAAATATTTTCTTTGCCAAATTTTCGAAAGAATTTTTCTGTGACAAATAATATTCTCCAAATATTCATTTTGCGCTTCCGGTTTGGGTTCGCAGGATCATGTTACGCCGAGTTCGGAGTACGAGTGCCTCACACGACGGGCAGCGCGTACGTGTACAGTTACGTGACAGTAGGTGAATTAATAGCATTCATTATTGGATGGAACATGGTGCTGGAGTACCTTATAGGTACGAGCGCGTGTGCCTGCGCCCTTAGCGCCTGCCTGGATGCCCTGTCAGAAGGCGCCGTTTCCAGCGCAATAGCGAACAGTGTGGGAACCATATTTGGTAAGCTAAAGTCATTTTTTAATACCTTTATTATTGTAATACTTAACCACTTGTCCCACAACAACCAGTGAAACTCGTGGTGAAGATTTTCAACATAATTTAACAAATATATATATATATATATATATATATATATATATATATGTGTGTGTATATATATAATAGTATATATAATAATATATATATATATATTTATATTATTCAGTTCATTCGAGTTCAAAGTAAATATTATTCCTCTGTAATCAAGTATCACACTTAAAAGGAAATATAGGAATAACATATGCTTATAATTATTCTCTTTTTCCAATAAATTAATAATGACAAAGTAACCGTATTAATCGGAGTTGAGAAAGAGATCGTAGGCCAAGGGGTTAATTAGGAATAGGAAGATTTACGTTATTTACAAAAGTATCAGAGGGAGATCAATTATTCTGATTCGTTCAATTAAGCAATTATCGTTAAAAGATATTTTAATATTATTGATAATTAGACTGTAACTGTTTATGCAAATGCAAAATCTATGGTTTCGAAAATTAATTTATATAGAGAAGATTGAATAGAATTTTATTTCTTTTACCAGAGGTTTTATTGTATTCGTTTTAATGTTGATAGATAGGTGAATTTTATTAAAAATTTTACTGTACTGTATTTTATTAGTTAGGGTTTGCTGTGGATGTATATACTCCCGCAATCCATCGATCTGGTAACGCGAAGTGGTAATATTTGCCAATATAAATGTGCAAATAATAATACCAAAATCCAATCAAAGAATTTATATATATTTAAGTAATTCGACTAACATCTCAATCAATAAACTATTACCTTAATTTCCATAAAGAAAGTACAAAATAATCAATCTTACAGTTCTAATTTTCTTAACATTTCACACAACAATTTCACTGTTACTATCATTATTTATTAAAATATCATATCTCAACTCTTCAATCACAAAAACTATACAAATAAAACTACATTTTTCTTACTCCATTTATTATTACTCACAATTGTCACACTATTACGATCTACCATCTTTGAGAGACAATAATCTAAAAGAAATCTTATTTCGACTTGCTAAACGCTTGCGGAGACACAGAGCGAGTGGAATACCCTGCGATTTCCCTGGCGGCAAGTAGTTACGGTCCACGTTGGATCCGGCATCGACTGGGGTGGTCGTTAGTCGCAGGAGAACATTAAGGAGGGTACTCACGCGTGACAGCCATGCTGGAGGAACGTTTTTCTGCCTCGTAACAGCCCCGATGATGTATGACTTCGCCCCGACGCCGGCGGCGAACATATTGAACCTTTTTTTTCCTCTTCTGTTCGGTCTGGCTACGCAGAGGATTATTCTACTGCGTCAGATGCGCGCGAGAAACGGCCGATCGATACTCTGTCGAAACAGAAACGAGATTCACGAGAGTGGCTCGTCTGTCCAATGCGACGGGTATTTTAATGGGCCGATGTCTGATTAGCCACGCGGTCGTTCTACTGCGTTGGAATAAATCATCGTAGTTAGACAGGAGAATGTTGGATAGAGGTTGTTCGACCAGTGCGCTGGCAAAGTAGAACGTCGTTCTATTTGCAGATTATCGATTCAGACTCGAGGGTTCATTCTACTTCGCTATCTGACCCAGCCGCAGATTATCCTATTTGCGTAAATACTGGCCACGCGAGCGTGGGTCATTCTACTCGCTGCCATTTCACTGAATCATTCAAGATTCTAGTGCACTTGCGGTCAGTGGAGAAAGTGAGGGATAGGTAGCGATGTCGTTGCTTTTGGGGGACGTGGAAATATTTCTTGCGGCAGTATGATGATTTGCTGTGTGGAGAGTGTGTCTGACAAGTGGAGTCATTCTACTGTGAAACTCTGTTACAGTCGGTGTGTCTATTGAACTGTGCTATTCGGTTTCTGTACAGCTGATTGGAGGCTGAGATATTTTCCTGGGAAACTTGGATTGTTTGTCGAGTCATTGGCTGTATTGTCTGATAAAACACGAAACGTTATCACTTACCAAGTTATTTCATTATTTAATTATATATTTACTTTGCTTTATGTTTATTTTTAAATGCGTTTTATTATTGTATTTTGGAAGTGGCTGGCCCTTCATAGGGCTACTCTAAGAAGGAAAACATAATTTATATTGGTTTGTTTTACTCGTTTATAATGGTTGATCATATACTGAGGTAATTCTCTTAATGGTATTTGACTTTCGTTCGTGGAAATGTACGGTTTATATTAGGCAATTCTACTGGCTTCTTGGAATTCTTTGCAAGCAAATCAATAGTGTAGAATGACTAAATACTACACTGTGTTGTAGAATGTATATATATATATATATATCCACTTGCAATACCGTGTTACAAAATGACTGACTACACGTTCACTCATTCCCCTGTACTACATTTCATACGTAGACACTCTCCTTGCAATTAAAGAACTAATATCTATTCAATTCTCTTCATTACAGTAAATTATATCACTATTACACTACAACACCGTATATCAACTACAATGTCTGACTACACACCGACCTATTCCACTGGCATAGATTTAAAAAAATGCACGTTTCCACTTATTAGAAAATATTACATGTACTTTACTGTTACATGTTTCTACCTCACCATTCCCAACCACAAATAATCTGACTATACACTGACCCAATCTCCTTTGTCAATGTTCAAGTTCCTCTACGAACAACATTCCTTCCACGTACACAGTTACGGTACTTTCTAAGGTATACTCGTTGCATTTCGGCCTGACTTTATTCAAGGATCTATCTCTTGTACACGGTCTGACCATGTACGGGCCGGATCTACTTGTGGAATTTGCATCGCGTAAAACACCGTGCTCCGTGTCACTCGGGTTTCCACTGGTGGGTGAAGCTGTTGCGCGGGATATTGTAGGGTAAATTGCGTCAGCGGCAGGACCTTTTTTCATCGCGAGAACGGGGCCGCGGCGTCTGATAAGCGTGTTCCGTAGAGCTTATCGCGGCGAACCCCGGGACTTGATCCAATTTTATGAAATTAATTTAGCGGCGCACCGACCTCTTTCCTCGTCCTCCCTTTTATCTAGCTAGGGGGGTGAGACTCAAACACAATAACGGACCGATAAATCCGCATATTCCTGCACCCTTTCTTCGAAAATTTTGTCATTTCGCGGGCGAGGCGCGAGGTCACCTCACTTAAAGCGGAGATGGAGATGCTTTTATTTTCAGGATTTTTCGAGTAATTAATTTCTACAATGAACTATTACATAGAGGGTGGAATTTATGGAGTTTTCATGTGAATTTACTTCAAGGTTGTTTCAAGGTTATGTGACTTAGACACCAAACGATATTTAGGGTAGTGTTCTCTTGAAAAAAATAATAAATAATAGTTTTGGACTCTTCTTGTTTAACTGTTGTATTTAATTTATAATTAAGTAGATTGCACATTTCCTATTGCTTATGTGAATCATAGAAAAATAGATTAGATAGTGACAAATATAATGGTATATATTGAAATTTGAAATCTGTTAATATACCATTTTTATAAAAATTTGTTGATTGAAAGATTATAAAGTTATTGTTGCGAAAGCGTAATTATTCATGTAATTTCTAGCTACGAAGTTTTTAACTGATCGATGGCGCAGATTTTTCTTTATTAATTATCGTTGTGTCCGGTATGTTAATTTCTCATAAATGCTGCACACTTGCCACTAATCGCCGTTCATAACGGTTAATGCATTTTACTTTTGCACAAGTTCCATAGCTTCTGGCCCAATAGCTACACCGATAACCTCCATCTGTTTTAAATGGGGTTGAAAGCCCTCGTTAAACGTACAGGCCGCAATGTAGGTGGCGATCTCCAACATTTTTTCACCGGACGGTGTATACCTAACGAGTTAACTGCTCCTCTTTTCAAATGACCATAACGATCCCACTATTTCAAATAATTTGTGCATCAAAAAAAAGTTCGAAAAATCGAGAAACGAACTTCTTTCTGCTTTTCCGTAACATTTTTATTCGTGCAATATAGTTCGAGATAAACTCGTAGATTTTTTTTGTTCGAAGTAAACTCTAATTAGAGGAGGAAATAAAATTTTTCATTCGAGGCAAACTCCACGATGGAAAAGATCCAAACGAAAGAACCATGTAATAAAAGAAGTAATGCCGCAAGAAATTTATTACCTGTACCCATTTGCAAACGACGAGCCTTTGTCGTTACACTTTTATATCCGAGCACTTAAATCCTCGGGTGTGCTCAGCGAAAAAAAATAGGTTAATATCTATGCGGTATTCGTCCAGCAGTGATATTGAATTTCAGAACATAGGTGGTCTCGCGCGAAATACGATTTTTGATAGGTTTATAGGTGGCAGCGGAATTTTTTCTTTTGTTTTCGAAACAGAGACGAAGTATAGTTGCACACAAAAGTATCTGTCCATTCATGTGCACAGTATACTACACCAAATGCAGCGATGCATATTAAATGTACTGTATACAATTTGTTTATTTTACTATATTGATTAAAAAGCTTTTAATTTAATTTCTATATTAATGCAACCCATACAGACATTGTTTAATCTAACTGTATTCATTATTTAATCGAAATTTATACTTATTAGTTATAAATTCGAAAACTATATTCACTATATTGATTAAATATATATTTTATTTCATTACTGTACGTTGTAATCCTCTTATAACTAAAATTACTTAATGAAATTCTTTAGTCCATTTAGTTCATTGTTTTAACTTTGAGTATGCGAATCCAAATGACTCGAATTTTACTGAAGTTTATTTCAATTTCTAGTTTTTTGAAATATATATAAAGTGTATTTGTATAAATATTGTCGTAAAACACTTTTTTGAGTAATTGTGCACACGAAATGGTTTATTTGCTAACAAGAGAGCAGACACGGATTTCACCATTTCTCTCTCTCTCTCTCTCTCTCTCTCTCTCTCTGTTTGTCTGTCGGAGGAGCTCAGGTTCCTTTTATTTAGTTGGAGTATCGCGACACTAG